TCGGCGAAGAGAAGTCCGTATACAGTGGTTTTTGGATGGGTGCGACTGGAAGTTCATCCGCCGTTGATTCAGCAGGTGACCGTCCGTCCTGTAGGCGATGCGGATCCCGGGGTGCTTGTCACGGTAGACGTCCATCAGCCTGGTAGATAACATTAGACTGAAGAGGGTAGACGCCAGGACGCATCCCTGCTTCACTCCGTTGGTCACTGCGAATGCCTCTGAGACAGCTCCGTTGTCCGTGACTCGCGCAATCATGCCGTCGTGCAGCTGACGCACCACCTGAATGAATCGCTCGAGACAGCTGAATTTCTGCATGATCTTCTACAGTCCTTCACGAGGCAACGTGTCGAAAGCTTTCCTCAGGTCCACGAAGGCAGAGTACAGGTGGGTCCGCATCTCCTGGCACTTTTCCTGTAGCTGACGAGCGACGAAGATCATATCCGTGGTTCCGCGATGACGACGGAAACCGCGTTGGCTTTCCGGTGGGAGGCCCTCTTCTAGATGATTATTCAGACGGTTGAGGAGGATGCGAGCGAAGATCTTTCCGGCGATGTTCAGCGAGGAGATGCCGCGACAATTGTCGCAGAGTTGGCGGTTCCCTTTTCGCTTATATAGATGCACGATTGTTGCGTCTTTGAAATCTTGCGGGAATTCGCCTTGACGTCACATCTCTTGGGGGCGAGCAGTCAGGTGATCCACGAGTTGGGGACCGCCGTGCTTATAGACGTCAGCAGGGATCTCATCCGATCCGGGTGCTTTCCCGCTGGAGAGTTACTGCACGGCCCTGATGGTTTCCTGGAGAGACCGTGGGAGGTCAAGGTCCACGTTAGTCTCCACTTGCGGCAAACGGACGATGGCGGCGTTGGAGATGGCGGAGGGTGGGCGCCGGGACGCAGCCCTGCTTCTTTCCGTTAGTCACTGCGAATGCCTCCGCTACAGCTCCGTTGTCCGAGAACACACCCAGACACACACACACGAGAATACGACCGTCGGTTTCGACGATGTCTACCGTACAGCAGTATGGGACGTATGCACACTCTCCCCTCCACCACCTGGATCCGGTGTCAGGACAAAGTGAAGAAGACCGGAGATGGGGGTGGAGGCGCAGGTGGATGGCACGGTCGAGCACATACTTTGGTGTTCTACTCCATACCCCCTGGTCCACACAGCAAATAACCAGGTTTTTGATTAAGCACAACAATTGGGGACGTAGCATGGTCCAAGTGTGCAAGAAATACGCCGGCAACCGCGTCCGCCACCGTACCCCAAAATGTTGGCGCAAAGCAGACAACGCCGGCCGCAGTCCAATATGACCCCCGTGTTGGTCCAGCGCATCTTCCGCGTGGCACGTTTCAGGGGCCAATCACACACACAAACACACAGTGTCTCTCTCTCTCTCTCTATCCTATCTCATCTACTCGGCTTCGATGACAAGACTATGTGAGTACTACCAGAAGTGGCTTCGGACGCACTGATTGACAAAGCTACATTGACCACTTACACCTGCTACACATGAACTGGTCTCCACAACATGTTCCAGTCCTTCACGAGAAGGACGGCTCAGGTGTCACATCAACTAGAGTATCCTAGAAGCTACTCAGAGAAGAAGCCATTGCAACCCGACTGTCAGTCTTGAAAAGGACCGAGTTATCCCGTCAGTTGGAAACCCCCCCCCCCCCCACCCCCCACCAAACCACGACTATTAACGCGTCGGATCTACTATAGTGAGGAATGCGCAGATCTGCCGCGGGGAGGAATTCCTCAGTGCCGACCTCATTCGCTCTTCCTGGCGCAAGTCGACTGTCCGAACATGTCAACCAGCTGGTGTTGGGATTGGGCTCAGTGAACGACGTGGCGTGAAAGTCTACTTCTAGGTGTCTGGCTTTAAGCCCCTCCCCCACCTCAATGCATGCGTAGGACGTGGACTCGCGCGGACTCGACGCAGTCGGGGATAACGCGTGCCACGCTCCAATCCGAATCCCGCTTTCGCCTAGCGCATGTGCAGCACAGCCCATCTAGTGAGCGTATCGATTACACGCGATGGCCGATAAGCGGGAATCCAGGCTGGGATGTCCGAAGCGAATTTGGAGGTTGGCAGTCCGTCTCTCCGTGCCATGTTTCCGTTCCCTCGCAGCGTAACTCCCACACTGCCATAGTATAACAAAACAACCATGTTTATTGAATTCAAATCCGAAAGGGTTTTTCGGTCGGAGAAAAGAATTTGCAAACAGCAGTTACGCTACCAGTGGCTTAAGTGCGCAACACAGGACACAGTACAGGACGTCGAAAAGGGCTTGCTGACAGCATATTCTGTAGGCCTTACTTATGACCTGTTGCAACTAATTTTCTTGTTAACTAAAATGCGTTCACTAATGCGCTAAAAATTATATTTGGTTTCTCGCCTTTTTCTCCGATTTCCTAATTCATTCGGCACAGCCTTGTTGGTGAGTTAGCTTCTTCTGTCTCCAGCACCGTTCTGGTCTCTGTTTACCGACGAAAGGCCTCAGTTGTCAGCTAGAATAGTAAACAACCTGGTCACTATGGCGGAACTAATCGTAAACGATTCCAACAGTGTGAAAATCGTGTAATGTCCAGAGGTGGGTGACAATTCTGTCGAATTATTTGCGTCAAGAAGGCACCGCATTTAGTGAAACAGTATCCTTGGAGTTAAAATTGTCTCTGCAACTTTCGGGTGAATTAGGAGTGATTGGTCCTTGTGAGGACATCCATGAAGCTAATGCATTATTGTATCGCCCAAGCGTACGCTTAACACAACCGAGAGACCAGTTCATCCGAGTAAGTTCAAAAGGCACCTTGCACTTGTGCCGCTTTGCGGGTTTCTTTTCAAGGGACTGTTTCGGGCGGCCTTTTTATCCATTTTCCGACCTTCGCAACCGGCGAAATCTGCCCTGCTCCTGTCATTCTGTTGCTGCAGTGTGGTGACTTTTGCTTGATGTTTCTTTGTAGTGATTTGGGCCTTATCTACCGCCCTTTTTCCTTCCTCAACGAGAGTGGGTTGACGGCTGGAATCCCAGCTAAGCTTGTGTCAGAGGCAACCTTATGAACGAGACATTGGAACCTGAACGCGCGTCTTAAGGGGAGGACTGAGTATTTCCCCCCAGTTGACAGCCGCGGCTCCTAAACTGTTGTGATATATTCAAGAGCCCCGGATGGTTTTAACGAGGAATATGCTTTGATATCTTCGACCTTTCTGTCTCTTCTCAACCTCGGATGCCAACCCACTGTCCAAACCAGTCAGTTTTCTGATGAGGGAATGGGAACTGTGGCTGACAGATCTAGAGAGCCCGTCTACGCTCGTCAAGCACGCTCTGGCAGCCTCTTCATGCCCTCGTTACTACACACATACAAACCAGAACAATTTCAGGCGCTCTACTTCAGCGCCCTAAAGCCTTACATTCCCTAATGTTCATGCCTACATAGACCATGGTATAATTCCGCCTTTTGATATGGTGCGCCATCCTACAGGCCGACCCCTGATTTTAACTCAGTCTAAGATTATTTTGCATCAGTGACATACTTCTACAGTCATTTGGTCATCTTGAATGAGTCTGCTCGGGGCAATTACTGAGACAACATATGCATCAAAAATCCTCCTCCAACTGATTGGTCGAACAAGAAGATTGCACACGAATGACTGACTAGGCCGATTCGCGATTTTCATATGCGGTAACAGGAGGAGTTGGTAGCTGCTGAGCTGGTAGTGGTGGCGATGCTGACAGTGATGGCACGGATTATGGTTATGGGGGAGTTGTCAGATTTGCAAGGTGTCGGTAGAATCGAAAAGGCGAGTTCCAGGGAACGGTTTAGAAGGGGCAAATACAATTGCTGGAACCAAAGTTTTATTGGCTTGACGTTTCGGATTCTTACCTTGACTCAAACTCAGAGACAGTTGTAGATATGGTTGCTGGAGACACTACGAGTGCAGTATTTATAGGACACAGTTGCCGCGCAACCACATGCCTACTGTAATTAGCAGCTCCTGGTTTTATGATTACTTCATTTCATGAGTCCCTTGTCAATACGTCGTAAACGAAATCCTGCCTGTGCTCCCGTCAAGGGAGCAAAGAATATTTGTTCAGGGAAAGTGTAAACTCAGAATATTTCTTTCTCAAAGCGATCGCAGTTAAACGGGGTATAAAGCCTTTGTATAAAGAATTGATAGAACACTCACTTTTGAGGAATTTTGTTCTGGTTTTTCGCTCTTAAGGAGGACATTATTTCAGACGCAATTAGTAGTGCCTGCTTTACATCATTAAAAGGGCTTACAATGCAGCCTAACTAATTTTTACCATTTCTACGCGATCCATTTCATCTATAGCGCTGATGGATCTTTGCCATTGCACGTTAACTTAAATCGTGTTTTCAGAATAAAGTGTACTTCCGGATGCATTATAAGGCAAGAGGCAGCTACGTGGGAAGGCCGGGTCCCCCGGTCTTCTATCACGAAGGCCCTGTAAGACAGTGGACACGGTACGGACCCAGCGCTAGTCTTCTTACTTCCTGCCCCTACACATACAGTTCAGGTATTGTGTTTTTGCGGTCAGCCTACTTGCGCAAAGAAAGATCTGACTTGTGTCAATAAGAGGATCACATGACAAACACTATTCCCTATGTGACCTTCCAGCGACTTCGTTGCATCCATTCACTATGTTTCCAAATGAAACAATTAGACCACTTGACAGGTCTGCCCTTGCATTTCACTTCTTAGTCTTTTAATTCGCGTGCTCGTTTTAGTGCTATGCTCCC